GCTGCTACATGCCCATCTCTATAAGCTTGGGAATAGCTAGTGAAGTGCCCACGGGTGACTGTAGCACAGCTATATATTTTTATGTACATCCTGTGTGTCGTGATTCCCAGGTCATGCAAAAGGCAACTGGGATACACAGTTCTTGGGGTTGAGTCTGAGTTATGATAACATATGAGCAATTCATGCTTAGCACAAGAGGGAGATACTGCTCAGAGATACCACCACAAATGCACAACTCCATAATGTATTTAGTTGTTAGTAAAACTGGTGTATCCGTGGAATCTGTTACATCTCAGTTATAAGGCATTACAACAAAAACAGGCTTTGGTGAGGCATATAGAGTTCTGATGTGAATGAACCCCAAAATGCCCAAGGTGAAAGCAGATCCTGGGGGACTGGAACATCTTAAGCCAGCTTTGCCATGGAAGCTTTTGATTAGACTAAGCTTCAAAAATTCTGAATTAGATCTGCAGTTCTTACTGAAAATGAAATTGTTCTGGGATCTCTGAAAATGTTATACCTTTGAAAGTTCATACAGATACTTTTGAAAGTAAACTTTGAACATTTTATGTCTTCTGCACTGTCAGTTGGATGACATGTTCATGATTATATTGATGGATGAAAGCATACAATACAAATGAAAAAAATGGCACAACATGGAATATCGAAGACTGCTTTATGAGATAAAATGCGTTGGACTTGATGATCTTCAAGGTCCCTTCCAACCATGATGATTATATGATTATATCATTCTAAGTGGTGCAATCACAGACTTCTGACTTCACTAGAAAATATTATCAAATTAAATTTGAAAGCTTTTACCTTTGTCAATAACTTTATGAAGCATAAATGATTTTTGCATTGAGTTACATGACCTAAGTCATTAGAATTAGCTCTGATGTGTGCATGTGTGCATTCTGTATCCATTAGAATTAGCTCTATAGTTGTAATAGAGAGTATTTTAAAGTAAATATTTTAGTTATCTTTTAAACTTTTCTGTTCTAATTAAAAGTATTTGATATGCAGGTCCAGAGTACTTCATGGATGCCCCATCCGCCATATGTTATGCAACCAACAGTAAGTGGATACATACCTACAGCCAGCTAAAAGTGCTTGCAGTGTAGCCTCCCTCTGCTTGTCGGCCACTTTGAAGTCCGAGGTCCAAATAAGGGCACCCAGTTGCTCCCTTTGTGAAGAACTCTCCTCTGTAAAGATTCTGCTTCTTTAAGGAGGACCTTTTGATTTAGTGAAAAGGGGAGGAAGGGTGATATGTTATCAAATTGCACTGATTGTAAGAGAAGAACAAGCTCTAAAGTG